ACCACTTCCTCTTGCAGGGGAGGGAAACTGAGGGCCGGAGAGGGGCGAGGCTTGCTCCTGGCCAGCGGAGATGTGAGCCTTTCACCTCTTCACTCACGCAGGCTCTTCCCAGCCCCCCGTCCATACACTGGGGCCTGTCCTGTGGCCCCATGGGCCCTCTGCCATGGGGTTCTGCCCCTCTCTGCCCTGGAGCCTCGGCAGTGGGGGTGGGGGCCCTGCCCCCCAGGTCAGCACCGGCCTGGAGCCTCACCTCCAGAGACCTGGGGCCGTCTCCGCCATGGACCTGCTCCTGGCCTGCAGGGGGGCCTCAGGCCCGGCACCCACAGGCCAGAGTGGGTCCCTGACATGCTGTGTGTCCTCAGGGCAGTGCCGGCCCCTCTCTGGGCCCTGGCCAGACAAAGCCTGGGGGTTTGCAGTCCTGTGACTCAGAGGTGTGGGGGCTGGACAGGCAGAACCCACCTCTGTGTCGACCCCCAGGGTGGCCCCATCTTGTCCCCAGGTGTCTAGGCTCCGTTCCCCTCACAAACCCGGCCCTGGGCCCCTGTGACCCTGTCGTTGTGCTCACGCCCCCATCCCACCAGCCCATCTCTCCAGACCTTTCATCTGTGGAGCCCCCAGCACCCCGTTCCCAGCAGGTGCCAATGAGGGCAGCTCCCGCCTGGCCCCGATTCAGAGGTGCTCTCCGCAGTGCTGTCTCTGTGCCTGGACAGGGCCCACGGGTGTCTCAGGTGGGGCACCCCCACCTCCAGGCTTGATCCCTGTAGGGAGTGTCCAATCTGGCTCTATGTACCAGGATGGCCTGGAGGGCTGTTCGGGCTCAGGGTCCCCCCCGCTGGTGACTCACCCCTGTGGGGGAAATCGCCTGCCTGTTCTCTGGCCTCGGTCACTGCCCTGTGCACTTAATCACCAGCTCCCTCTTTATAAAGTGTCCGCCTGCAGCCCGTCTGGCCTGGGCTAACCGCTTGGGGCCTCAGTTGAATCCCTAGTGGTCAGCTGCAGCGCCAGAGCAGTGGGTGACCCAGCCCGCAATGGGCCTGGTAGGGGAGCAGCCAGCACGAGGCCATGGGCTTGGGGTGGGACGTGCAGAGTCAGCCCACGAGGCTGTGGGAGCTGACAGAGGATTTCCGCTGGGCTGAGGGACGCTGGGAGTCCAGAGCCCTGGGTCTGTGCCTGTCCTTTTGCCCCGCTGGGCCCCCTCTAGCTCTGTCTTCAGTGGCCTGGAGCCTCCAGCAAAGACCGGTGTGGCTGGTAGGGGATGGAGGGGAGGCTGGGGGGACCCCAGGCCCTGTCTTGAGGGACAAGGCCATGACCTTCCACCACCAGGCTTCTCTCACTCCCTCTCTCCCTAGATGGGCACACACATTGCTCTCCAGCCGACAGGACGCTCCCCACACCCTGCCACCCTCTCTCCCAGCCAGGGCTAGGGATTGGATACCCCTGACCTCCCTGGGTCTCCAGGTCCCCTTGCCCTGGGTTGGCACCCCCTGTCCAGGACCCCCACTCTCCGGGTGCACATCCCCTTCCAGGACTCCCACTCTCTGGGTGCACGTCCCCATCCAGGACCCCTGCTCTCCACGTGCACCCCCTGTCCAGGACCCCCACTCTCCACGTGCACCCCCTGTCCAGGACCCCCCACTCTCAGCGTGCACCCCCTGTCTAGGACACCCTGACCTCCCTGGGTCTCACCCCCCTGACCAGGATGCCTATCCAGCCAGCCATGGTTCTCTGTTGGTAGAGGGTAGTCCTTTGTTCTGTCCCCTTGGGGATGCCGTGTGGCCCTGATGCTCCAGCTGCAGGAGCACTGTGTCCAGGGAGCCCCTGGTCAAATGTGTGTGTTGGGCACAGAGCTGACCCAGGGCAGGTGTGGGCACCGAGGTGGGGGCCAGGTTGGCATCTATGCCCAAGAGAGGTGGTGGTGAGCACAGGCAGTGGACAGCAGAGCTGAGGGGCTGAGTGGGGTGGGGGCACAGGGGATCCTGGGTGCATGCCACCAGAGCAGGGGGCTGGCCCCAACCCAAGACCTGGGGGCTCCTTCTGGGTCTCCTTGGAGGAAGCTGGGGTGGCAGTGAGCTGCGTGGGCTGAGCCTGCCCCTGTCAGTCCCCGAGGGTGTCTGGAGCTTCCTGTGTGCCCCCTCAACACTCATAGCCACACAGATGCCCCAATGCGGCTGCATTGGAGTTCCCTCCTTCCACCTTTGGCCAGCACGGGCCTCCCAGTGAGGGGCTCCTGGCTCGGCCTCCTCCTGCCCCACCCCGGGCCCCTCCCTTCCAGCAAAAGCCCGAGCTGGGTGGCTGTGCTGGGCCTGCCCTTTGACAGGGTGGGCGCTGGGCCTCCTGCCCTCACCCCCTTTCCTCCCCCATCCTAGCCTGTACCTCAGCTTTCTCCCTCCCTGTGGTCTGACTGGATATCAGGGCAGGGTTCAGAGGCCAGGACGGTGGGGCACAGACAGCAGGGAGAGGAGCTAGGAGAGGTGAGGATGTGGCCTTGGGAAAGCTCCCCCAGTTTCCGGAGGCCCCATCCAGCACTGCCCCCAAGAACGTGGAGTGAGGGTGGACACACAGGGAGCGGCCCCGTGAGGCTCCTTGTCCTGGGGGCTCTCCCTGCCTGGCCTGGGAAGGCAGGCAGGGTCTCCCAAAGACAGGGCCACCCTGTCCCCACCCTGAGGTCCTGAGTGTGGTGCTGAGATGCGGACGGCTCTACCCTTAGAGGCCATTGACCCCTGTCAAGCCTCGCACGCCTGAGCTATGCCCTGCGGTGCGGGAGGTCGGGGGTTCAGGGCAGCTTTGGCCCCTGGCCTGAGAGGGACAGGGGCAGGCCGGGAGCCCTTGGGGGTCTTGGCCTCGGGCAGCGGCTCTCTGCCAGTGGGGATGTCCTCATGGCCTCCAAGCTGGATTCCAGCCCTAGGAGTTGTGACTGAGTTGGCCTTTGCAGGAGGCAGGAGGAGGTCAGGCCCAGGAGAGTGCCTGCCTGGTTCCCAGCCTCCAGGTGCGTGATCCTCCATTGAGGGAGCGTGTCTTGTCTCCCAGCCACAGGGGGCTTCCGGGGTGCCCCGTGGTGGGCCGAGATGGAGACCCCACTCCGGGGCCACATCCCCAAGCCCAGAGAGCACAGCCATGTAGTCGGCGCTTGGCTGTCGGCTGAGTGAAGCTCTGCGTTGAACGTGGATGGTTGGGGAAGTGGTTCGTGTCTGGCTTGGCGCACATCTTGCTGCACCACTGACATGCTGGGCCTCAGCTTTGCCCCTGCAGCAGGCAGGCGGCTGCCCTTTCTCTGCCCCTCATCGGAGCCTTCTGCTGGGTCTCTAGTCTATCCCCAGACCTCGGGCCACCGGCTGCTTCCTCCTTCCCTTTGTGTCACCCTCTTCCTTCCCTTGGAATTCCAGCTCTGGAGGCCACCACGGAGTCCCCAGGAGTCTCCGAGCTACTCGAGCTGCCACCTGCTCCCATCCTGGCCCATGGCATCGCCCATCCAGCCCCTGCGCCAGAGACCCACCACCAAAAATCCAGCACAGTCCACAAGGCTTGTTTGGTTGTTTCTTCTTGTTTGTTTTGTTTTGTTTTTTAGTTTCCCCATTGTTTGAAACTCACAAGCTATGACTAAAATAATTTCTTTCATAGAAAGAAAAGGAAAAAAACAACAACACATCTGTTTGTCTAGCTCCAGTGTATGGTGGATATAGCAGCATCAGAAATAAAATTAAAACCAAAAATGCAAAATTCCAGGCAGAGGAAGGTCAGCCCTGCCTCACTTGTCTTCTGCCTGGAGGGGGCCCTCGGGGGGCGGGGGTGGGGACGTTTCACAGTGGCAGAGGCTGAGCGAAGAGCACGTGGTGGGAAGTCCCTGCGGGCATCGGCATAGGGGTTCTGCCACCTCTCTTGTTCCCAGGCCAGGTGGACAAGTCAGGTGAGGAGGGCCCAGCAGCCAGCTACAGGCTCCAGGACAATGGCCAGTGGCACACAGATCTGGCACACCAGAGCCATAGCAGCAGGACCTGGGTGTCAGTTCTGGCCATGAGGGGCTGTGGGTCCTCTCTCTGCAGGACGGTTATGGACTCATCCTCTCAAAACTTCCAAACAACTCTACCCAACCCCAAGTGAGCCTCCAAGGCAGACTGAAGGAGCTGGGGGAAGGGACAGCCGCACAGCCAGTGTCTCTGGGCAGCCCAGCAGTCTGGCCCCCTTCCTGCCTTTCCCTTACAAGGGGCTGTGGATGAGGGCAACTGAGGGAGGTGCTGAGGCCAAGAAAGAGGCAAGGGCAGGGCAGGGACAGCAGGCTTGGCTTCTCTCCGTGTACGGGCTGGGGCGCAGGTGGGAGATGTTAGGAAGGGAGGAGGGCGGGTCAGGTGGTGGGACTTTCCATCAGCTACAAAGTAGAGGGCACAGCTGATCAGGCCGAGAGAGCCCTGGCTGGGGCTTGGGCGACAGTAGGAGCAGTCACTGGGAAGAGGGCCCAGATGTCTAATGCCAGGGCACAGGCAGCCAGGGCAGAGCCAGGTCTCAGGGCCCATGCCCCTCCTTGGCCTCCCGCTGCCAGGCTCCATCTCCTCCCCCAGATCGAGCCGCTTGGGTTGGTGGGGCTCTGCAGGACGAAGGCTCTCCCCACAGGGCTCCTGATCGGAGCGTTGGCCGACCCCAGGCGCAGGGAGGAGTGCCACAGGCCTCCTGGCGCCCGAAACGTTCCAGAGCGCCGGATTTGGAGGCTGGCCCCCAGACCCAGAGGAGGCAGGGGACCGGACGCCACCCCACGGGGTTTCCGCGGCTGTTTCCACCAGGAGAGCCGCTCTACACAGACGAGGTGGGGGGATGGAACCAGGCACGCTGGGGAAGAGGGGGACGGTGGGCAGAGTCCCCAGCCCAGGAGCCCTGCCCCTCCAGGACCCCGCCCCACCGAGGAGCCCGGTCCTGCCCAGGAACCCGCGCCCCACGGAGGAGCCCCACTCGCCCCCGACTCCCGCAGGACTCGGGAATTCCTGCCCCGCCCCCACCCCGGAGCCCCATCTAGGGAGGAGCCCGCCCCCAGGAGGACCCCGCCCCCACCCCGGAGCCCCATCTAGGGAGGAGCCCGCCCCCAGGAGGACCCCGCCCCCACCCCGGAGCCCCATCTAGGGAGGAGCCCCGCCCAGGGAGGACCCTGGAGCCCCATCTAGGGAGGAGCCCGCCCCCAGGAGGACCCCGCCCGCCCCGCCGCGCCCGCTACTTGCAGGTGTGCACGTCGTAGACGCGCGCGCACTCCTGGCAGCTCACGTAGCAGCACCAGTGGAAGACGCAGCGGCACTTCTCCCGGCGCCGCTCGGTGCGCGCGTTGTGGCCGCGGCCGCAGCACAGCAGGTCACAGCCGTCGATGCCGGGCGAGCTCACGTTGCAGGTGCGGTCGCGCGTGCCGAAGGAGCCCGTCTCGGGGTTGGGCTCGCAGAAGTTGGGCGAGGCCTCGTAGTAGACCAGGTCGCGCTCCGTGGGCACCTTGAAGTAGGTGTAGCGCGGCCGTAGCGTCTCCACCCAGCCGCGCGACTCGCGATGCTTCTCCACCACCATCTCCGAGGCGCTGTCGTACTTGTCCTTGAGGAAGTCGCCGATGGCGCGGAAGTCGGGCTGCGACCACCAGCAGGTCTTCACCTCGCAGCTGCCCGACAGCCCGTGGCACTTGCACTTAAGGTGCATGTGGCTGGCGATGGCCTGCAGGAGCGCGCGGGCGAGGGGTGTCAGGCCGGCCGGGGCCCCGGTCCGTCTGCGCGGGGCCGGTCTCCCCTGACGGTGCTCCTTGCCTGCAGTCCCCCGAAGCTCGCCTGGCAAACCCAGCCCACCTGCCTGCTCCAGAAAGCGCCCGGCTCCCAGGCGGAGCAGGTGCCCTCTCCGTGGGCCCCCAGCGCCACTCCTTTCGTGTGGTGTGCCTACCCCCGCCGACCCGAGATCTCTGGGGAGCACAGCATCTATGGCTGAGGGAAGGCAGGAAGGGGCTGTGACACGTGCGGTCTAAGTGCCGGCCCGCAGGCAGGAAGACGTCCATTCTGACCAGGAGAGCCCAATACTGCTCGTAGGACACGGGCTAGGGGCAAGGCTGGAGGCTGACCCGAGCGCGGGTAATGGGAGTGGCTTGAGCGGGGCACCTTCAGGGCCCAGGAAGCCCGGGACTGTAAGGGAGCGGGAGAAGGAGAAGAGAGGCAGTGCTGGGGGACAAGGCTGTGGGCCTTGGGGGCCCGAGGGTGAACAAGGGGCAGGGCCTGGCGAGGAGTGTGTGTGTTTCTCCCCGTGGCATCGGAGAGCTGCAGGTTCTCTTTCCTTATCTCTTTGGGGGAAGGTGGGGTGACTTAATGAGAACAGTTTAAGGCTGTGGCAGGCAGCGGGTGGTGGGCAGCAGCCCCGTGAGCCCCTGAGATGGGGCTGGTCCAAACTGAGAAGGGGTGTGAGAGCAAACCACACGCGCGTCTCACTGAGTTCCTGGACTCCACACCAGAAGAGGGTGTGCAGGATCTCAGCCACCATTTTGGTGCTGATTGCATCATTGCGATGGTGATAGGCTGGATACATTGGGTTAAATAAAATTTAGTATTAAAACGAATTTCACCTGTTTCCTTGTTAAATGTGACTAGTAGAAAAATTTTAATGACGTGTGTGGCTCCTATTACACTCCTGTTGGACAGTGCAGGTCTAAGGCTTCAGTGGGCTCTACACCCAGAGGCTGCCTCCACCCTGCCCCCTCTCCCTGCGGTTTCTTCAACCCTTCCCTCTCGAACTGTCCCTTTCCCATGGCATCTGTCACCCCCCATCATGTTCTGTCTCACCTCCATTCTCTTTTTTCCAAGAGGCGTGCGGCATCCCACCTGTGCCTCCTCAGTCTGTTAGTTTTACTTTGATCAAAGTCACACGTGCACCCACTTTAAAGAGTCCAAGAGTTCCCAAGACCTGCTGAGAAAACAGGATTTCTGCCCCCACACTCTGAGCACTTTCCGGACCACCCAGGGCAGCACCTTGCCTCTCTGAGACCTCCGGTGAAATGTTCGTCTTGCTACTTCTCCATTTTGAGTGTTGCGCATGGTCTACAGCCCTCACCATGTCACTACTCTGATGCACACTTCTTGCACCCTAAAAACTACATCGTAAGTCCAGTTAAATCAATATTCGGTGCTGATGGTGTTGAAACTGTTAAATGTCACGCTCAGCTGTGCCATGTGATATGATTATTTTTCCTTTCCCACAAAACGTTTTGTTGTTGCTGTCTTTACTTATCATGGATTCAGCCTCAGATTCTCCCTTAATTGTCTAAATATCCTCAAGACGTTCAGACACACCAGGTGTTCTAAGAAGCTTTCATCTTCTTGGAGACATCTTTTTCAGAGGCTTTTGGTAAATTTTGCAAAATTTGCATGTCTAAAAATGAATCTTTTCTTCTTGAAAAGTTGAAAAGATGGTTTAGCTGGGTATAAAATTCTTGGCTTAAAGCATTTTTTCCCCTCAGAGTTCTGAGGGCGTCACTCCATTTCATTCTAGCCTCCATTGTTCTTGGAAATTCTGATGCCATTTTGATTCCTGATCCTTTGTGTGAAACCCAAGCCTTCTCCTGGGAAGCTGGAGGGTCTCTCCATGGGGCAGGCTGTGGACTTCTTGGCATGTCTGGATCTGCCTTCCCTTTGCTGTACTAGTCACTTACTGGGCCTGTTTGGTCTAGAACCCACGATCTTCAGTCCTGGGAACCTTCCTGCCTTATTTCTTTGCCAACTTCCTTGTCTCTGTTCATCATTGTCTCTTTAGGATTCATCATTGTCTGTTTAGGACACACCCTCCATATTTTCTACTTTTTCCTATTTTCCATCTCTTGGTCTCTTTTCCTCTAATTTAAGGGAAGGGTGTCTCAACTATCTTCCAACTTTTATGCTCAGAGTTTTGTTTCTGCTGTCCTATTTTTCTGTCTTTTTTTTTGTTTTGGTGAGGAAGATTATCCCTGAGCCAACATCTGTTGCCAATCCTCCCGTTTTTGCTGAGGAAGATTAGCCCTGACCTAACATCTGTGCCCATCTTCCTCTATTTTATGTGGGACACCTGCCACAGCATGGCTTGATAAGTGGTGCATAGGTCCGTGCCGGGATCTGAACCCGTGAACCCCAGGCTGCTGAAGCAGAGCACTCAAACTTAACCACTATACCAGGCTGGCCCCTCTGCTGTCCTATTGTTAATTTCTAAGAGCTCTTTTTATTTTCTCTGAATGCTCTTTTAAATTAACGTCCTGTTCCAATTTCATGGATACAGTGTTTCTCTCTCTGGGGATGGTGATAGTTTTTGAAGTTTTCATCTCTTTGCAACCTGTCTTCCCACAAGTTCTGTTTTGATCTTTACCTTGTGGTTGCTGGAGGCCATCCTCAGATGTCTGTGCTCCTTGCCTGTCTGCCAATATTTAACAGTGGGACACCTGGGATATCCTATGCACAGGACAGACTGGTCAACGTGGGCCCTCACCACAGAGTGACCTGGCCACTCTGTTTCCTTGAGGTCAGTGTCTTTAAGTCTCTTCTCTTGGGTTCGTCTGATTCCCAGGGGAGAATCTTCCATTCTTCCGTCCAGAGGGTAATGGAGCTTCACTGTGGCGTTAGGATATTAGGAAGAGAAATGTGTCTGTAGACAGACGCTTCCACCTGGGCAGCCTCACCCTCTGTGAGGCCTGCGCAGTGTCCCTCAGTCCCGACACTCGCTGCTTCACCCTTCTAGAGCAGAAGGCTCCAGACTTCTGCCGTGCTGGAGGAGAGGTGCTGTCTGGATTCAGGGAGTTGGACAGAAGAGCTGGTGGGTTATAAAGTGCTTCGAAGACAGAGTTTCAACCAATCTTCCTGTTTTCAGTCTCATATTTACCTTTATTTCTCAAGATTCCTGATACTAGTAATTCCTGGGTTGGTTCTCAGATTTCTCCTCGACTGGCTTAAGACACAGCTGTCTTGGGTTTACTAAGACCCAGGTGTTCATCTATCTGCTTTAGCTTTCAGTTCTGTTGCCACTGTCACCTCTTTTGTTTTCCATGTCCTCAAGAGTTATTTATTTATTTTAAAATTCATTCCTTATCATTTTAGAGGGCTCTAGGAGGTGCAGAAGAAGGCGGCTCTGCTCACCACTATATTACCAGCACCCAGGAGGTGCAGAGGGAAATGGTTGTGTTTGGTTTGTTGTCTTTCACTGGAAGTCCCCCTTCATTCTTCAGTTCTACAATTTCTAAGTGATTCTTTCCCAAATCTATTGTATTATTTTTATAGCTTCCAGTTCCCTGCTGAAATGTTCAAGCTTGCATTTCAACTTTGTGAACATAAGTAAGCATATTTTTTCTCATAATCTGTCTAATAATTCCAGTATCTGCAGTCTTGTTTGTGTCGTTCTTGCTGATTACCACTCACTGTGTCATCAGCTCATGTGACAGGTTTTATTTGATTATGTGTTGGACATTGTGTTTGAAAAATCATTTGTAGAATAATTTTTCAGCCTTGCATGAGGTTATCATCCTCCAGAGAGGAGCTATCTGCTTTTTTCAGGTGTGTGGGGATACCAGCAATTAGGTCTTGTGGTTTTTTTAGCCTGCACATGTGCACAGGGGCTGGTCTACTTCTGGTTTTCCTTTACTCCTCAGGGTCCCAGCCTAAACTGAGGAGTGATAAAGTAAGAACAGATGTTCTTACTTTAATATAGTTCACATCATTACATTTTTCTTTCATTTGAGTGCTTTTTTGGCCTAAGAAATCTCTGCCTACTCCAAGGTCACAGAGATGTTCTGCTATGTTTTCTTCTAAACGTTTTTTGTTTTATCTTTCCCATTTGGGTTTGTAATTGATTGTATATATGGTGTGAGGCAGGGGTCAAAGTTAATTTTTTTTCCATATTGTGACCCCAATCAACTGAGCAGCATTTATTGAGGGACCATTTCCTGCTCTTACTGCACTGCATGCTCCATGATGAGTCAGGTGACTGTACAGAGGGACTGTTCCCTACTTCATCAGGGCTTCTGTCTCATTCTGTGTCCGTCCTTGTCTTCAGGAAGATCGGTCCGAGGCACTTAGTTCCTTGTTGTTGTCAGCTGAAGGTCCCTGTCCACCCTTCAGCCGTCTGCAACCCCCGGGGTTCCACTGGCGCCATCTCTGTGCTGAGTCTCCCGCACGCCGCCTCTCCATCCCTACACCCACCGCTTCCCCTCAGCAGTCAGGCCTCGAGCGTCCCCCTCAGCTTCTGACCTCGTCCTTCCCAGCAGGGCTCACAAAGCCCTTCATAGCTTGGTCCCTGCCAGCCGATCCATCCCCCAGTTTCTCTTTCTTCCTCTGTTCTCCGTTTTCTACCCAGACTGGTCTGTGTACAGTCTTTCACCTCTGGGCTGCCCCAACCTGGATAAGCACCAGGTCTGCGCTCACCGCCCCTCCAGCCTGGGCTGGCCCCTCCGCTGTGCCTGGGGCCCCTTGTGGCTGTGCACACTCCAGGACACGCAGGGCCGTGGTCAGAGGGGTCTCCCGGGGCACCCCCAGGACGCGCGGGACAGGGTCACGGGGTAGGGGGGCCGCGGACCTACCTGGCGCCCCGCCTCGTTGTTGTGGCGGTTCATCGCGGAGCGGGCGTCCGGCCGGTTCTCCCGCGCGTCCGCGAACTCCCGGGACACCATCCCGCCGAACTCGATGTCCTCGCTGCAGCCGCCCCACTTCCAGCCCTCGCCCGGCGAGCCCTGCTGGCGGCCGCTGCAGCCGCAGATGGCGGCCGCGCCCTCGGCGCACGCGCGCGTCACGGCGAAGGCCACCCCGGCCGCGGCGATGGCGTGCACGAAGGCGGACTCCCGGGTGGCTGCGGGGAGAGGCCACAGGTTGGCGGTCGGGGTGGCGGGCCGGGCCTGCGCCGCCTCTCCCTGCGCTGAGGCCTGGGTCCCCACCTGGGCTCACAGGTCATCGAGGCGAGAGGCAGGGCTGCGGGGGAGAGGGTGCGCGTCCCCCAGCGAGGACCCGCGGAGCCCAGGAAAAGATGCCGGACATCGCTCTCGTGGGGACCCGCAGGGACGGCTGTACGCAGAAGGTCAGATCAGAGCAAGTGCTGGCGAGGATGCGGGAATCGAACCCCGCACCTCCTGGCTGGAAAGAAACGGGCGCCGCCTCTGGGAGAGCCGTGTGGCTGCTTCTTAAAGACAGACACCACCCGTGTGACCCGGCCGCTCGTGTCCTCCGTATTTACCCCGGAGGAGACCCCGCGGCCACGCAGGACCAGCAAGCAGATGTCACAGCTGTACTGGTGCTCCCAAGTGTCATCAAGGTGAAACTGGGGTGACCCCCGAGCCCAGGACGTGATGTGGGGCATGGACTGTGGGTCATGGGACTGTCTTGTAGATTTGAAAGTCGCCCACAGAGTGGATCTTAAACATTCTCATCACAAGAAAAAAAATTGTAATTGTGAGGGGATGGATGTTAACCAGACTTTTTCTGGTGATGGTTTCACAGTATATACATGTATCAAGTCATTATGTTGTATATCTGAAACTAATACAATGTTATATGTCAGTTATAGCTCAATTAAAAAGGTGATGTAGCCATAAAGTGGAATTCTATTTAGCAATAACAGGAAAAAGAGCACGGGTGAATCTCAAAATAATTATGTTGACTGGAAACAGGCAGATGAAACAGCCTCCTCCCAGTGCCCTGACAGCCGAGGTGGAGGTCCCTGGCCCAGGTGTGCTGCTGGAAGCTTCCAGCAGCCTGACGGCCCCACCCAGAGTGTGGCTCCTGGTCTGCATGCTGCCCACCTGTGCTGCTTGTTCTGCCTGCACACCTTGCCCTCCTCCACCCTGGACACCAGGCACCAGCGGGCCCAGCTGAAGGGCTGCCTCCTCTGGACCCTTCTACAGACCAGGGGCCTCCAGCGAGCACCCGCCCTGTGCTGGCCCCATGCGCCTGGGCCTGGAGATGCTAGGGGCTGCAGGGTGCCTGCTGGAGAGCAGCCTCCAGGCCACCACTGACCCCGAAGGCTGGTATTGGAGCTGCCTGGGCCCCTGCATGCAGCCTCCTCCTTCCACACATGGGAAAGTGAGTCAAGAAGGGGAGTGGGGGAGGGCTGGAGCTTAGGAAGAAGAAGGTGATCCGACCAGGATCATACAAGGGGTGTGGGGCCTTGGAGAGGCCGCCCGGGGGTGCTTGTCGGGGGCTAGCCTGACCCTGGTAGACAGAAGCCTGGAGTGGCTAGTCTCAAGGACAGGCAGGAAGCTGACGGAGGGAAAGCAGTGGGCAGATATTCCACTCTGGGTGGAGGACGAGGGCACAGGGCTGATGGAACTCTCCCTCTTCCACTCACCGTTCCACATGCGTGTATGCGGCGCCTGCTGTTTGCCAAGTCCTGCCGAGAAAGAGCAGGGAGCAAGATGCGCAAGTTGACCTCTTGGAGCTTACCTGCTGATTGGCAGGAATTTTTTTTTTTTTTTTTAGTGAGAAAGATTGGCCCTGAGCTAACATCTCTTGCCAATCCTCCTCTTTTCTTCAGGAAGATGGTCCCGAGCTAACACCTGTGCCAATCTTCCTCTATTTTGTATACTGCATGCTGCCACACCATGGCTTGATGAACGGTGTGTAGGTCCACACCCAGGATCCAAACCTGTGAACCACGGGCCTCTGAAATGGTGTGTGTGAACTTAACCACTACGCCACCGGGCTGGCCCCTGATTGGCAGGAATTTTAAAAATCTGGGCAAAAATGCCACCGGCTTTGGAGCCCAGGAGGCCTGGGGCTGAACCCTGGTGTGGCTCTGATAGCTGGTGTACCCTGGGGCATCTCTACTGCCGTCATGTGGGGCCATGCACCCCACCTTTCCTGGCTCTGACTCCTGTCTCTCCTTAGGCCCAGAACTGGCAGGAGGGAGAGGGGAGCAGGAAAGATGTGTGAACAGGACCCACAGGGGCCTTCTGTGCTGGGTGAGGGACCTGTGCCCTGTGTGTCCCTGAGCTCCTCCTGGGCAGAGGCTCCTCGGCAGGTCTGGACCATGCTGGGGCTCCCAGCGGCCCCCGTGGGGCTTCAGGACAGTCATCCTGGGGGGCTGCCGCCTCCTTACCTCACATCAATGCCAGGGGGCTCTCGTCCTGGGAGGGGGATGGGCAGGTGGGCTCCACCCTGGGGAGTGAGCAGAGGCTGGGGGCTGCTCCCCACACTTCCTCCAGCTGCATGAGCTCACCTGCTCCCAGGTTTGCAGCTGAGCATGGGTGCCCTAAAGCCCAGGCAGGCAGAGGCAGGGGAATGGAGAGATGGGGTTCCAGCTGGCAGCGTGCACACACTCAGACTCACCCACACAGCTTCTTTCACATCCACACACTCCTGTCACCGAGAAAAGCACATTTACTTCAATACCAAGAATACACAGAGAGGAATGTGTTGAGGAAGTGCCCTCCACACTGGCCTCCGTGCCCCTCTGGCTCCACCCAGCAGCAAGCACACCTGCTTTTGGAGACTCTTTCCGTGGATTTTCCAACAGTTCCTGACGGCCCTCTGCAGGCCTTGGCCACCTGTGTCCTCTCTGAGCTCTGCCCAGAGCAGGCGTGGATTCTCACTGCTTGCCGGAAGCTCCGGGGCCATGTTACCCAGCCACAAACGCAGAAAGGGACCCCCCATTTCTTCCGTCTCCACCTCCTACCACCTGCTCTGTCGGGGACTGCCCAAGCCTGAAGGTGGCTCTGGCCTCCCGCGGTGACCCCCTGTCCATCCCGGCCCTTCCCTGTGAGTCCAGCCCGGCCCTCAGCATCTCCCTCCTGCAGCAGAAGAGGTTCCTGTTGGGACCCCTACCCCTAGCCTCCAGCCTCCTCCCTGCTATCCACACATGTGCGCCACACACACAGACACACATACTTTCACACACACACACACATGCATGCACATACAGACACACACACGCATGCTTGCACGCCATAGGCAGGGTGCTTTGTCTGACGCCCACCTGGCCCTGCCCAGCCTCTTCTCGAGTTCTTTCCCAGGTGCCCTTGCTTGACCCCTACACTGCCGCCTCCTGCCCCACCTACTGCCCTCCCAGTCCTGTTGGTCACTCCCTGGCCTCCAGCCACACTTGTCCTTCCACAGGTTCTTTCCAGCTGCTCTTCTGCTGGTGCAGCACCTGCCGTGTCCCCCTTCCCGATCTGTGGGGCACAGGCCAGGGTCCTGGCCACGCAGTCGGGGCGCGATCCACGCCTGGCCCCACGCAGCCCTCGGGGCTCCCTCCCACACCCGCTCGGCTTGGCTGCCCCCAGACTCATCCCGGCCTGGAAGCTCCCCGAGGTGCGACTGTGTCTGGGTCACCCTTTGTTTCCAATCCAGGGCCCCAGGCCCATCCCACAGATGATTGTTGGGAAGCGAGGGCCTGGTCGGAGGAGATGGCAGGGAGGCCGCAGAGTCTGAGCCACCTGGGCAGGCCCTCCCCACGGTGCCGGCTCTCTGCCCCTCCCGGCTCAGCTCATCCTTGCAGAGATCCAGGACAGCTCCCCTCACCATCCCCTTTCCCAAAGACCAGCCAGGCAGCTGCCTCCCCAAGACGCCCCATTTTTCTTTCATGATATAACCCGTCAGTTCACAGGCAGGCCTGGAGTGGCCTTCTGCTGGCCCAAGGTGCCGAGTGAATACAGGCCAGCATGTGCTGGATGCAGACCCCTTCCCCTCCTAGCCCTCCACTCAGCAGAGCCCCCGCCCTTTTTTTATCTTCTCAAGGACTCACGCTGCCCCTCCCCTTGGGGGGTGGGGGGTGGCAGTGCAGTGAGCCTGGCTTAGGGGCTGTGGATGGGGTTTTCCCAGCTTCCACTATGTCCCGGGCACTCCTGGTGCCTTCCCCACGGCACCCTCTCTGGTGGCCCTTCTCAAGGCTTGGATTCTCCAGGGCCTGAGTACCCTCCCCCAGCCCCGGCCCAACCTGCCCTCCCCGGGCTCAGGGCCGGCTCCTGCAAGAGGAGCCTGGCTCAGCTCTGCCCCCACCCCCTCCGGCTTCTGAGATAAGGCAAGAGCAAGCTGAGCCGGGGGCCTCACCCCGCTGTGAGCAAGGGCTTGGACATCACTGCTTATCGAGCCCAGGGCTGCCAGACACACTTGAGAGGGAGAGCAGTGGGGGGGGGGGGGCTCCAACAGCTGAAGGCAAGTCCAGAAGGGCGGCGATGGAACAGCTGCAGCTGGGTCAGAGGCAGGAGGGGGGGGGGGGGGCTCCCCCTTGAACTTGGAGGAAAAAGAACTCATTCCTGCCCAGCTCTGTCACCAGCCAGCTGTGCGACCTTGCGCAAGTCCCTCGCCTGTGGGCCTCAGTTTCCCCTTCTGCCAGATGAGGAGGGCGGCTCCTCACAGGTGATGTCCTGACAGCTGAGGATGCCTGGAGCAGCCTTCAATTTGCTCACGGAGAAAAGAAGCCTCCACGAAGAGGCCACAAGGCCGCTGTCAGAAAAACGGGAGACGGTTTGTTCTGGCAAAGAAAGTCCCTTTTAAAACTGAAGACACAGGTCTTTGAGCAGCTCCCCGAGGTCCTGACAGACCCCAGAGGGAAACAGGGTAACTTTGCACTGGAGAACCTGGCAGACCCGCCTCACTGAGGGATCGGGGCAGCCGGCACCAGCAACGGGACAGATAGATGGACACGACGTGCCTCCGGACAGGAAGCTCCAGGACATTCTATCCAAAGACCTGCATCATACATCAGACAAACCCTGACCGGGCTCCTCCCGGTCTCCAGGGCACAAGAGCGCGGCTGGGCGAGGAGCCCAACGGACACGCGCGGGCCATGGGCAGACAGGGACAGTGGTGGAGAAACGGGTGAAATCTAGGCAAAGTCTAGATTTTGGTGAATAGTGA